TAGACATAATGAAATCTCTTGAAATCTAAATAACATGAACCATAATCAACATAAAACTAGACTTCAAAAAAATAATAATAATAATTTGTTTTGTTTAAAGAAAATATATATTACCTCAATATGCAATGATTTGATTCAAGTTCAAGGCAAATAACCTCACGAGATCCTAAGAAGAGTGTCCTGCTAGCATGTGAAAAAGATCACAATTAACATAAAACGGATAGAGAATCAAATAGAAACAATAATAATTAAGCATTGCCGATCATACAATAATAATAATAATAATAATAATAATAATAATAATAAATCTAAAATCAAGCAGTTTGGTCGAATGATCTCCTAGCTGGAGTTTTCACTAGAATCTGAAGGAGAGGCGAGAAGACAAAACAGAGTATCCAAAATACAGTCCAAAAGTGGAAATGGGGAACAAAAACCTGCAGTTTCTTTTTTACATTCATTGTTTTTATAGCTGCTAAAGTTTGATGACTACAGATGACAAAAATATGTGGAGATGAGGTGACTGTATATATAGGAGGTTGAACTTGTAATGCTGAAGTAGTAGTGGGACTTTTAGGTTATATGTGGCATCCACTATCATATATATTTTTGTCTTTCACTCTTTATATTAACTACACTTTATGTGTGTGTTTTTTGGGAGCCAATTACCCGTTTCTTGATTTCAGGATGAGGAATCAACTTTAGTAGCAGTGATTGATTGATCATTGCTACAGAAGACCTGTGCAAATTAATAGAAAAAACCATTAACTTTTTTTTTGTTAAAGCCTGCTTTTGATTTCCATGTGTTTGTACATTCTGATGCCAATTGCTTTGATAGTATATTAACTGAAATTCTAGCTGAGCCAACTTCCAATAACATCAATAATGGTGGGATGTATCTTCATATAAAAATAAAATATAAAAAAAACCCCCTTAATTTGGCACTTTTAAGTATGAGCATAATTCAGAGATCGAAAAAGTTAATTATTACCTCAACGGCTCAACCCACTAGAAGGGATCCTTAATTTTCGTAGGATTGAATGTGAAAATGCAAAAACTTATGAGGAAAAGGGGTATGATTGCTGCTGTTGTGAGATTGGAGTGGAATTAGGGAGAGGAAAAAAAAAAAGTGTCTGCCATAGATTATGGACTCGATCGCCATGAAAGACCCATGTAGAAAGGCACACAATTATTAAAATACTAAGAGAACCATAATACATTCATTCAGCTTTTGATAGCCATCACACACAGTGACACATACAAAAAACCCTAGTTTGGAAGCTACTTTTCATTATTGGAACAAAGGTAAAGGCCCGAATCAAACGAACCAAAGTTAGAACAAATCAAATGATGAGACGAACGAAAGAAAGAAATATATATAAAAGATCGATTCATGCAAAAGGAGAGAGGAGAGAGAGAGAGAGAGAGAGAGAGAGAGAGAGAGAGAGAGGATGAACATACCTTGTCACCTGAGGCAATAGCGGAGGCTGCGTCCTGCGATGTGTCGAACCAGATTGTGTCGTCTGAAACTTGCCCTAACTTAATGCTCCATTTTTTTTTTTTTTTTTTTTTCATCATCCCGTATGGGCCTCAAAATTTGAGGCCCAAGGCGACCAAGACTTGTCCTAACCTAGAAAAAAAATTTCCATCCTCTACGGGCCTCAAAATTTTGAGGCCGTCTAAAATTTGAGGCCTAAGGCGACCCGGTCGCCTTGGGCCATGGTTAGCCCTGCTCGACAGTTAAGAGATAGCGGGCCAGAAGCTAAAGCTTGCTAACGGCGAACCCGAACTAGAACAACGGGCGATGGAAACTGAAAGATATGGGTTTTGATTTTTTGAACAATCTAAAATGATATGCTGATATGGGTTTTGATATAGGTAATAGGTTTTGAACTTTTGATTCTTGCAGACAGATACATAAACTAAAATATATGCGTTTTGAACTTCTAATACATGTAGATTTTGTAGTTTGCAGTTACAGAGAGAGAGGGCAAGTTCAGAGTATATAAATAAAACATGCATAGATACACAGTTATGCATACACAAATAAAAGCACATTCATATGTTAAATGTATGGAAATAAATCGATGTCTCCACATTATTGAAAAAGCAGAGGAAAAGCAAATCCAATATAAAATGACTTGAAAAGTGAAGGTTAGAACAGATGAAATTAGTGAAAATTTTAAAAATGAAACGTTTCAGCGAAAACTTCAATCGATCATATTATAAACTTGAAGGTTCCTAATTGAATGGCACCTAAACGAAGACTATCCATTGATTTAGAGACAAACCTTACAGCGAAGTGAAGGTCAACTCGTTCTTCACGAATGAACAAAACCCTAGTTTCAGCGCAAAGAGAGTGAGGTTTGGAGTAAGGAGTGTTTAAAAGGCGAAATGATTGATGAGGTCGAGTTTTGCCCTAGTTTTGGACAGTGAAGATGAACTGGAATCGGATGTATGAAATCTCGGCCATCCATTATCAGATGGGTTCTCTTTGCTAAATAGACCCAATATGCCAATGGTTGCGAGACCTTCCACCAAACCTATGTGGGCTTCAGAAAAGCAATTTAAATTGGGCTTGGATGGATTAGGCCTATTATTGGGAGTTCTTTAAGCTTAACCCATCTTGTATACTCATGAGTCCTCAGTTAATTGAAAGACATTTGACTTTTCATCAATCTCGATAAACTATATCATCCTGTGATTAAATGTAGAGAATTCATCACTTTTATCATTAAAAAAACTCTTTTATCCTCCTCTTGATTAATCGCTTATTTTATATGGTCTGCACAATAGCAGTTTAACTACAAATTGAGTTAGTGGTTGCCCTGGAAATCAAATGAAAATCTAAAGCGAGTTTATTGCAAAAGAGTGGTATACTACTTGGCAGTCACAACTATATAGCATTTTCTTCTTTAGTTTTTTAGGGCCCAAGTAGAGTTATGTGGGACATCACAATCACCCCCTCTTAAGACTTAGGACCCAGCATCCTCGCCGGCCAAACCCCTTACGAGATTGAGCACACTAATTGATTTTCGGCTAGAGATCGGCTCTAATACCAACTGTCAAGATCCGTCCCGTGTAGATACTATCCATTTTGCACACTCTCCTTGTTCACCCTTTTTTAAATGCCTCTACACAAGTAGGAGACATTCCATTATAAGTGCCAGCAACTTCTCCCCGTGTGAGACATCACATGACTAGCTCTCGTCTTACACAAATATGTAACTTGTTGTGCATTACACTTGAGGTGGAAACATCTCAAAAGGGAAAAAGAAACTGAAACTAAAAGGAAAAAATCAAACAAAAATCACTGGTCGTTGAGAGGAAAGTAGTACAGTTCAATCTTGTAGGTGCATTGTTTTGAAATGAGCTGCTTGAGAAATAAAATCTAATGATTCATATCAGTGACAGTTGGATGAATGTTCTTCATGATCAAATGAGCTACTGGCTGTCTAAATCACTCAACCATGGTAAGATTGCTTTTGCACCTCTTTCCCATGAACAATCCAACATCATGTTATAAGTAATATGGGTTTTGATATAGGTAATAGGTTTTGAACTTTTGATTCTTGCAAACAGATAGATAAACTGAAATATATGGGTTTTGAACTTTTGATTCTTGTAGATTTTGTAGTTTGCAGTTGCAGAGAGAGAGAGAGAGAGAAGGGGGGGGGGGGGGAAGTTCAGAGTCGAATGAGAATAGAGATGGAGGTGATTGGGGAGGGGGCAGGTTCAGAGTCGAACAAGAATAGAGCTGGAGGCGATTGGGGAGGCTGAAATGATTTGCCCTAAAAATATTTTGTTTTTTTAGTGGCCTATCATCCATGGGCCTATAAATTTCGAGGCCCTGGGCGACTGCCTTTATCACATTGGGTCAGGGCCGGCCCTGTCCTTATTTGGCTTGTGCCTTTATTTTAGTATGGTGGTTGAATTGACTTGAGCTTGATTGGATGGGTTAATTTTATTAATATTTTTTGTTTTTTGTTTTTTGAGGTGGGCTAAAATTAGTATAGTAAAAAAATATATATTTTTTTGAGTGGATTTAAGCCCACCATAGCCCATCCTTACATCCTCCCTTGGAATAGACGGCCTGTTTCTTCACTATTATCTTTTGTAAGGACTATCAACAATGGAACTTATGTGTAGCATTTATTTTTAACATATTTAACGTTGTTCTCCACTGTCACAAATTGCCATGATTTGCAGACTGTACCAAAGCGAACATAGTCCGATTGCAAATCTAAGTTGTCTATAATCACATCCAGTAAGTTCTTAGGAAGCCATGCCCAGTTCGACTCCACGGACGAATTCATATCAAAAACTATTTATTTATTTGCACAATAGCACTGCAAGCTATGCCAACAAATCTACAATGAGAACAACCAAGAAAACCTAATCAATTACAAAACAAAGTTAATAAAAAAAAAAATATTAAACGGGATATTACAATCATATTGTGTCCTGTTTTATGTGACGTGTTATAAGTGCCCGTCCATTAAACAAATTGATCATAGTATGCTACTTCTTTAAATAGGCTAGTGATTACATAATTAATAAACTAATCATAATTAGATTGACAGTGTCTTGAATACCTATTATCTCAACACAACATGAACATGATCTAATAATAACAGCAAAGGCAAAAATTATATATGAATGGTGAAATTTCTATTGAATGTGAATGGAAATGCAATCAGAATGCAAATTATATGGTTTGAAAATAAAATTTTGGCATTTTAATATGTTCCGTGTGAATAGATTATCTCACAACGTTTACATGTTTTTGTATATATAAAGTAATATACACTTTATAAATTTGATAAAAGAATCAAATGTTATCATTTGAGTGTCCATTTACTAAGATATTGAATAGTGAGAGATTAGAGTAAACTAACAAAATTATTGACAAACGCCGGAGTAAACTAACATAATTATTGACAAACGCAGGAGAAGAGAAGCACTACGATGTAAAAATTTGGGCTTACACTAAAAAAATTGAACAAGAAATCGATAACTTAGGACTCTTAATGGAGAATAAGGGAAGGGAAAGGACAAATACTCACTGCGTGATAGAAATCAGGCTTTAGGCAAGACTTTCTCGATCCTCTTCTAACTCTCAAGCAGTACTCCTACTTGGTTCTGTAACTTCGTTTCCTAATAAGATTGAGTTTATTTATTACAAGAAAACAATTTTTTTACCTTTAAAAAAAAATTGGTGGTAAATGACCCTTTCTATCATGATTAATTGATAATCGTAGTAGAAAGCGAATTTATATTAGCGGGTGTTATCCCCGCTGATATTTTCAATACTTGCATATATATATATATATATATTCAGTAGACAAATCCACAGGTCGGATCGAAGATGAAGATTAGATCTGGTCGGTTGGGATCCGTCTTTGTTGATCGAAGCTGAAATCGGAGTTTCTCCTCCTGTCATCTGGTCATACGGAACGAAAAACAGTGAGGCTCACCTTAATGTATGGGTGCCGAAGGCTTCCTTTCTGTGTTGATGCGACCTACTATTATCGATATCAACTATCGCTCCACACCGACCGAGAAGGTGAGTGGTTCTTTAGGTACATCGGTTCGGATAGAAGGCTTGTTTGTAGCCAGTTTGTTGATTTCCATAGCCAGATCGTTTGTTCATCACTCTTTCTCGAAGCCTTAACCTGTGAAAATGTTTTTCCCTCTTTCCATCAAGCTTCTTTCAGTTGGCCATAGGAGCAAACCCTAACCCCTAAAGAAGAAACCCTAAGTCTGGAATCCTCCATTAGAGACTCGAAGGTGTGTTCTGCGATCTGTAGACGATCGCTGCTGTTAGGTTTGTTTACAATCTATTTCTCTCTGCATTTATACACGTGGTAGCAAGACGCGAAGGAGTGTTTGTAATACCCCTAATTTTAAAAAGGATATTCCTGGTATTTAATGGAATTTAATTTATTATTTAAGTGCATTTTATTTGATTATGTGTCATTATTTTTTTATTAAGTGCTTAATTGTTTTCTTTTGTGGTGATTTAATTTATTTAAATGATATTTATTTTTAGTTATTTGATTGGAATTACTTGTTAGTGTTTTAATTATTTAATTGGCGTTAGTGTTTTAATTATTTAATTGGCGTTAATGGTTTAAGTGTAATTGGTTTAATTATTCTATGTGTGTCTTATTTTATGTGTGTCTTATTTGGTTTAATTGGGTTTACTAATTATTATTTTGTTCAATTAGATTATTTGTTAAGTATTTAATGGGGAATAGGGTAATTAGGTAAATACATCTAACTAGGGTTTTAATTACAGTATAAATTAGGGTTTTATATTATAGCCGTCGTAGGTTTCTACGTTAATTGGATGGGTCGGTTAGGATTGTGAGTTGGACTTAAATGAACCTAGGGTTTAGGAAAACTCTATAAGTATAAGGTAGACGTCTGTGTAGGGTTTTTTTAAACAAAGCACACGTTTTGTGGAAGTGGAGAAGGAAAAACGCAGTTTTTCACATTTTGCCAAGGTTTGATCAAAGCCCCGATTCCGCTTCGTCCATGGTCCGATCGAGCTGAATTTTGGAGGAGAGGTTCACGACTCAGTGACGCATAATCTGAATGGTGAAGATCAGAGTTTGACCTCGGGAACAGTGATTCGTACTCATGAACAGTAACTGGGTCGCACAGGTTTTTTCCATTCTGCCTAGATTTCAGCAAACATCCGATCCTGGTTCGTACGTGGTCCGATCGAGCTGAATTTTGGAGGAGAGGTTCATGACTCAGTGACGCACAATATGAACGGTGGAGATCAGATTTTGACTTCGGGAACAGTGATTTATACTCATGAACAGTAATTGGGTCGCACAGGTTTTTTTCCATTTTGCCCAGATTTCATCAAACATCCGATCTCGCTTCGTCCGTGGTCCGATCGAGCTGAAATTTTGAGGATAGGTTCATGACTTAGTGTTGCACAATCTGAACGGTGCAGATCAGATTTTGAGTTCAGGAATAGTATTTCGTACCCGTGAACAGTAACCGGGTTTTGGAACTCGCCGGGATTTTTTAAGAAGACGACGTTGAAACTTTGAACAAAAGTTTCTGAGGCAAGATTCTATCCTTACTCTTTCCCTTAGGCTTCATACTCTTTGCACTCTTAAATGATTCCAGGATTAATGAAGATTAAACCAAACTAAAATGATATCTGTTTTGCTATGAAACTAGTAGTTACAGTAGTGTTGTATGCTTGTTCAACCTAGACTAAGCATGTTTGTGGATGCATTGTGGTTCTGTGGTTCACATTTTTCCTTACCACTGCTAGTATAAATTATTGGAAGGATGGGTCTAGATGATAGCTATCTTAACTTCTGTAATAGCAACTGTTGGAACTTAAATACTAGGAGGATTTGAGTTTAACACTAGATCGGTTTTGTGGAACACTATAATTTGAGCATGTCTACATACGTACTGTGAATATTGTTTTGATGCTTATGTTATCACAGTTAGTATCAACTGTGGAGGTTAGGATTTTGTGATACATACCCTACATATCTGTATGTCATTTGTAAGGCGTTAAATGGAAGTTTTAATTAATTCTGTCTTTATATCAGACTAAAGGGAACAACTTAAATTGGGCATGTATATGTTGTTGTTGTGACCCTGTTTATCAATGCTTATTTTATCACTGCTAAGATTGAATGTTGGATGTTGGAATTTAGTTGATATATACTTGATTTATTGGTATTATTGACTACTGGAGGATTGGAAAGTAGGCACCGGTATGGGACGGTGGCATACTAAGGATGGGTTTGGTTTTTAAATCAATACCATTACCCACCTACTTGGAATAAGAATGCGATTAACTAAAAGTTAAGTCCCGTGGATTTGTATTGTCATGGCAACTACTTGTGGAGCGGCAATACCAGGGATTTTGGATGGATTTTGTATATGTACTGTTATGGTGCCTCGGTATGAGCTTGAGCCTCAGGACCGATGGCTAGGGAGCGTATATGCATCGGGATGTGTAGCTGGCTACGATGGTTGGAGGTGTACCCTGTTTAGGTATAGGTACATATGCCCACTTCGTGTGCGTTTTAGCATGTTACCTCTATTCAGGTTGAGACCGGCCTGTAGTCCAGTGAGAGTCCTTTAGTGTGACTATATATATATTTACGGACAATTAGCTATTGTTGAATTGTTTAGGATGTACATGCGTATCGGTCCTCTGTTTGGATTGTAGTAGGATAGAACTTGCGCGTGGGCCTGACCCACTTCTATTTTTCAGGTACACGACAGTTCCAGGCTTAGACGTGTTCGTGCTGAGCAGAAGTCTCTATTCACTCTTCCGACGATGTAGGGCTCTCTCTATAGTTTTATTTCTGGACGTTTATTACATTTGTTCTATCTTCCGTTTGGATGTTTAATAGGGGTCCACTAGAGATGGATTCCCAAGTTGTAAACTGATGGAGTTTTGGAGTTTGGGTTTGATGGATTTTAATAATTATAACATTTTGTGGATTCTATTTTTAGTTCCTTCCAGCTTTAATTTCATTTCTTAATTTATTTTGTATTCCGTGTTCATTATAAAATATTAATTGTTTAATATTCCCTCGGGTTTGGGCCTGATCAACCCGTGTCTCGGATCCAAGGGGTATCACAGTTGGTATCAGAGCACTCCAGGTTCAAGTGTCTCTAGGATGTTTCGTATTAAGTCTTCCGCGTAGCGTTTTCTCTTGAATATAGCTTAAGTTAGGATTCATTGTATTCCTTATGGTTCGTATAGAAAGGGTACTGACGTCTGTCTTTTCGTGTTAACAGATGGTTAACGCTAGAAATGGACAGAACATGCAAGGAACTAGGAAGGAAAAGAGAACGGCACGTAGGCAACAATATCTCCTACGGCGTCAGCAAATGGAGGAAGAGCAGCAAAGGCTTGGGTTTCAAGATGACATGGATCAGTTTCAGGAGGAACAGGAGAATGTTCAACAGACTCTGGACCAGGTCAGAGATCCAGAGGTTCCTCCTCACCTCAATGACCTCGTTGCTCGGGCTATAGAGGCTGGGGTAACAGCTGCACTTCAGAATCAGCCTCAGGTACAGTTGGCACCTATACCAGCACCAGTGGTTCAGACGGATTCTTGGGAAAAGGCTAGGAGCTCTTTCACAAAGGGGAGTCCACCTGTGTTCTCAGGCTCAACCGATGCGAGAGTAGCTCACCAGTGGAAACAGGACATTGAGCGTCATCTTTGTTTAGTTCAGTGCACGGAGGTTCAGAAGCAGATGCTTGCTACTTTCAAGCTAGTTGGGGATGCACTATAGTGGTGGGAGTCAGTTACCACCTCAGAGGAGAGGATGACATTGTCTTATGATGAGTTCAGTGCTCGCTTTGATGAGAAATATTTTCCCTATGCAGTCAGGGCAGCTATGAAGACCGAGTTTCTAAGTCTACAGCAGGGAAACATGACAGTGGCGGAGTATGAGCAGCAGTTCACACGCTTGTCTCTCTTTGCACCGGAGGAGGTGGATACAGAGGAGAAGAAGTGCAACAGTTTTGTCAAGGGATTGATGTGGTCTATCAAGAGAGCTATTACAGGTAGTCCAGCCTATACTACCTATGCTCAGGTGGTAGACGCTGCTCTACAACAGTATCAGTTGACTGTGGACATTAGACAGGCTCGTGGTGAGAAGCGGGGAGATAAAGACTCTACTAATCAGTCAGCTAAAAAGGGGAATGGCAATGGTCACCGGCAGAATGACAAAGGCAAGTTCCAAGGACAACAGCCTTGGAAGAAGCACAAAGGTGGTTCAAATGCTCACCGGAATGGGGCACCTATTCAGAGGCAACAGAATGGGGGACCACAGGCAGGATAGGGTCAGCCACAGGCTAACCGACAGAGAAGGCCATTTGGTACTTTCCAGGGTAGTTGTTACACTTGTGGAGAGTATGGTCATACCACCAGGCAGTGTCCTAAAGCAGGACAAGGACAGGGACAGAGACAGTATGTGCAGCAGGGACAGAGGGTGCCAGTGCCTCTACCAGCTCCACAGGTTCCACGGATTCAGGGACAGACACATCTGGCTTTATCAGCACCGCCGCAGACTAAGGGACAGGCACCACAGCAGTTGCACTATGGCAGGGTGTATAACCCTATGCCACAGGATGTTCAGGCACCTCAGACTATTGAGGGTAAGTTTCTTATTCATGGTTTGCATGGACGTGTTTTATTTGATATGGGTGTTACACACTCATTTGTAGCTAGGACTTTTGTTGCTTTGTCTGGGATAAGGATGAGGGTATGCACTAGACCTCAGGGTATTTCTACGCTATTGGGTGATACAGCTATTATACATGAGAGTGATGGGCCTGTGACACTAGATATTGGCAGACTCAGATTTCTAGCCAATCTATTGGTCCTGGACATGCACACTTATGATGTGATACTTGGGATGGATTGGTTGTCTCACTACCATGCCCAAGTTGTTTGTTTTGATAGATCTATTATTTTTACCATACCTGGTTAGGATATGTATGTAGTAGCTATGCCACGTTCTAAAAGGGGCGGTAGCACCTATTTGTTCTATGTGGAGGAAGAAAATGAGGAGGGGATTACTGTGTCATTGGATAACATACCGATTGTATAGGATTTCCCGGATGTATTTCAGGAGATTCCAGGGTTGCCACTTAGTCGCGAGATCGATTTTGTGATAAACTTAGCTCCAGGCACTGCGCCTATTGCTAGGGCACCCTATAGGATGGCACCGGTAGAGATGAGAGAGCTGAGGGATCAGATTCAGCAGTTACTCAGCCAGGGTTTTAC